ATCTTCGGGTTGGTTCAATGATGATACGTTATGTAGCTAACATTTTTTATTTTGATGAATTTACTGTTTATTCGCGAAAGGACAAAAATGTTTATGCATACGAAACAGTCGTACCTCCTTAATAAGTCGACACCATATAGCACTCTTCCACATTTCGTATAGCATATCGAGATGCACCACAGTGATACATACCGCGAGCCCTCATAACTCATAGTCTCTCCTACTATCGTTTAACCCGACGGAATAACGTGTCCTTTACGAGCGATTAACCGTGATTCACAATCCGAATAAAATCATTCGCAATATAGTACGATGTTTATCACGATTCCATGGGTTCCTTAGATCAATGGATTTTAAATACTCAATACCAAGATCATGCGAGTAACAATATCCAGTTGTTGAAATTACTCAATATCTTGTTCCCTACCTAATAATTAGCAACGAGATGTTAAAAGAATAATGCTAAGAAAACGTAGAATGAAGTAGGTGCAATGTCACTTTGCAAGATAATTTATATGGTGAGTTTGAAATATGAAGGTAAATGACCTAAGTGTATATATATATTCCTTTGCAGTGGGTGAGGAATAGAGGAACGAGCGATTGTATCCCATTCATACTTTTGCATTGGAAAGTAGTCATTTGTGCACAGGTTGTGGTGTGTCGACGAGACGGAACGCCTGACTGGAAGTCAACGTGAACGAGTAAGACGCACGCCGCCATTATAATAGATATGTTAGCATGCAAACGCTGTCTTTTATATACGTTTGCTAGCAACAGCTGAGAGTGGTGGTGCCTTGTGTCAGGGATGTACAGTAAAGACGAGGGGCCCGAATAAAATGTTTCAGCGATTCATTAACGGGGTGACAAAAAACGAGAAAAATATTTGTTTTTAAATTAAAAAAAAATAATATATTAAAAACATTCACTGCACCGATTTAATGGTAATTACAGATTAAAGTTGTCAACAAGAAAGATGATGATACCAATAAGATTCAATTGATAAGAATTACATACTTGATTACGGTATAGTGAGTCATCTTGATATGTTTACCTGCTAGTGTCGTACCTGGGGCCCCGTGTGAATGGGGCTCTAGTGGAGCGGTGCAACTTGGTTCATTGGAAAGGCAAAGAGGGGGGTTCGGAGGGGAACAAGGGGTAAGCCCAGGAGGGAGGGTACCTAGTGTCTTGGTGGGGAGGTTGAGGGGTCGGGGGCAGAGGAGCGCAATGGAGGACCTGGGGGACCGGGGCCAGGGAAGTCGACGCGCGGCGGGTGTACCTACTTACCATACTCCCAGTATACCAAAGTCCCGCTCCCGACTCGCTCGCGGCAGATAGTAGTTGCTAGCACACAGTTCTCAGGAGCGGAGAGCCCGAGTTGGGTTTAGTCGGGTGCGCGGCGGACGGTCCACAGCGGAGAATTAGAGCTTTGGCACAGTCCTGGAGCCGTTCGCGTTATCGGACAGGATTCGAAATTTCGAATCGAAACAAGGCAACAGGATAGATATGCGTATCCGAGAAATATAGATTCTAAGGATTTTGGAATATCTCGGAAGAAAGGGGTGAGTCTATGTTCTTGGGTCTACGATGACGTCACTATTAGTGTAGTGTTACTGTACGTCGAGTTAAAATAATTAAATTTAACTCTAACCAGACCGGAAGTACAGAAGGCAAGGTTTTATTACGGTTTGTCGTGGGGAGGATTTCGTGCAATTGTACAAGGGGATGATGCAGAGTACTATTGGCTCATGGTAGGTGTAGGGTGGGTGTCAGGATGACGTTGGGGAGGGGATGAATGGCGCGAGTGACATCCGGTTTCTCTTGAGGATTCCTCGTGTTCCGTTACGTTCGGTTCCGCTATCGCTTGTCACGTGGTCGCCGACTCTGGCGCCTCTGGCGGCGGACAGAAGAACTAACCACGGAAGGGTCTCTCTTGCTGCCCGTTCGTGTCTTCTGTTGGGCATTCTAATCCGGGTGGGGGGCGGGGGGGGGGTATGGATGGAAGATGTTTGGATGAGGTCACGAGCGATGATGGGAGTAGGGAATGTGGAAGGAGCACCAGGACGCACTCCGAGAGATCTTATATCACACTGGATGACATTTGACAACCACGTGGGGTACGTGTCGCACGTTGTGGATATATCTATATGTGTCTGTCTGCCTCTCTATAGCTGTATATGCTGTACTTTGTTGTTGTGGTTACTACCTTTATATTTCTACTATTTCAGTCGCTTGTTTATATAATTATACAATTAATTAACTACTGTTTTATAATATTTTTTTAATTTGTACATCTTTTTATTTCTGTAACGTTGTATCGTCCCTCTATTCTTACTACCCCTAGACCGTTTAATCACGACTTTACCTAATCTTCTAGTTTAAGATATCTTCCCTTCCTCACGCTCCATTAACATAATAAGCCTTTCTCAGCGCCCTCTAGAACTTTTCCCGAAAAGTTGAACAGTTCAAAGTATATTCGACAAAAAAATGCCAAATCGAATTTTTGCATACCGAAATATATTGATTTTTCAAAATCTGGGTCCTTGTATCTGGGCCTACATTTTGATGCCTGCTATAACGATGCTCCATTGTACGCCCCTGACTCTGGAAGGGTGGCGTCGAAATATCGGAGCACCGTTGCGTAAAGGGGGAAAAAAAATGAAATATAAAAAAAGTGCACCCACAACACGGGGGGTTGCAAATTCAATTCGCACTCTGAATAACGGCTAACAAACCGCAGTTATGGGATAAAAAGCTATGCAGCGTCGTGCGCACGAATGACGTCGGGTAAGCAGAGCAATTCCAGTGGTCCATTCTTAAATTGATCTTCCAACATCATCAGTGCCTACTCTCAATTTTACTCTAGGACTCTATACCCATCCGCACCCTTCTTAACGTACCAGTATGGCAGCATGCCGGGTCCACAGACCCAAAATTCAATAAAGGCGAAACGAGTACCTAGACCACCGTCACTACCACCCCCATGCCTCTAACAGCCCTCTATAGGGGTTGTTCCGCGATGATAGGAGTGCCAGAGTCATCCTGAAGAGTCGGTGCATATATTAATCGTCGCGAACAAAGGAATTTACCCTCTTTGTCTCTCCCTCACGTCATGACACAAAGACAATTAAAGGCATATAAAACTCATTGCCCGCTGTTATCTGCCCTTAAACCACGTTTCTATGAATTTTCAATTAATTTTCAAAACTTTTTTCTCCCACCAATCAGAATTATTGAAAATATTTAATGTCCACATTTATCTGATATACGTATATTCATACGGCAGCCATTTTACCAAATATATCCGGATGTATTAACCAAGCGACAGTCAGGATTAAAGCGGGCGTGACGCGTTACGCAATCCGCGAAGTTGACGAGTCGACTAGACAGACGGGCTGACAGGACACAATATTGCAATAACTTCAATTACGGCGACACGACGAGCCGCCGAGGGTGGTTTACCCCGAAGCCCAACGCTATCCATTTATATTTCCAACTGACACAGCCGTCGCGGTCGAATTGGCTTCAGGCTCTCGCGGTAGGCTGGCGGGAGGGTTGTGGGGCGGGGAGGAGGGGGGGCATAGATGAGAGAGTCGACGGTAGTGCCGAGAGAGCAGAAGAGCATAAAGGGGGTGGAAAAAGGGGCTGGCTTTAAACAAGTGCTTCTTAATAAACCATTGACGCGCGAAACCACCCTCGAAAATTTGCCCGCACTTCGCCCTCAGGGCCACGGCCCGTTTCCGAAGGGTTGTTGCGAAGGAAGAGTCGAGCGAGTCGTCAACGTTGGGTTAACTTTAGAAATGTGGTTTTGCTCGATGAAGCTAAGGGTAGTAAACGGGAGTATTCTCAGTGGGGGTTATCGGCCATTTCAACCCTTGGTAAGAATAAAAAAATTCTTATGCTTAATATGCTTGCGTACTCGCAAGAGCGGTATAGATTTTTTTTCAGACAGAAAATACTTAACCTAGGGTGGACAAAACTCACCCCTATATTCACGTACCACTTGAAATTTTGCTCGGTTGCCGTTTTCTCCTTTGTTTCCCTCTTTTCTTTCTCTTTCTTAACGTTTCATTTGACAGCTGTCGGCCGCAACGCTCACCTACCCTGTGTCTGTCTTCGACTTTTCTGTCGAGGGAGAGGGATGATCTCACCCTTATAGACAGTAGTATAAGGGTGAGCGAGTCATCCTCTACTTGCTTCTACTGTATTTATCCCTTTGAAAATTCTTAGCAGGCTTGGAATCTTTGAAACACTGCGAAGCAACTGTATACGGAAACTAGTAATTTAGATAAATTCTGTGTGGTGTCGATTAGGTATTTATTTTTTTTTAAATTTCATAACGCTGATCGAATTTTGAAAATTTCAATCGCAGAAAAGAATATAACGCACGTGAAAAATGTAGAAAAAATATAAAAAATATCTTTAGGGAATAAATCAATGTATTAAAATCCGGAATGACATGCAAGCATGAGAAGGAAACTATGCTTAACAGTAAAACATGATAACGGCATTCAAAGTCAATTGTTACGACCGCGCACGGAGTGGCAGAAGGAAAATGGATGAGAGGATATATATATTTTTTTCCATTTCTACCGTTACTCTTTCTCTTTCTTCCTTCTCTGTATCCAGTACCTTCACCGCTTCTCCCACCCTCCTACGGAATCCCTTCGTGCCGTCTCAGGTCGACTCGAACTCGTAAATACGTACCCGATTTGTTTTGCTCTTGCATGCCATAAAATTCTTCATTCCCATTCACCGCGGCAATATCTATATCCTATATTTTCTAATTTCTCCAGAACCTGAGATAATCAATTATATTAAGTGCTCGTACTGGTATTCTTCAATTGACTGTGATACAACGACAAAAAAATAAGGAAAAAGTAGATATTTATTTCCTACGTATTTCAAGCTCTGGCGAATGGCATTTATACCGATCGAACAACCAATCAATGGAAAACCCGGTGCCAGGCAATAATAAACGTAACGTTAGTTAGCAGAATGTTCCAATTCCATCGGTAACGTGGAAACGTAACTGCGTCAGAATTCGACGTAAGTTACGTAACGTTTCGCAAACAGTATCTCAGACGCGGCATTTGTTATCCATTCTTCGTATCGTATCGGTATTCCAACCCTGCAGGGGGCAATACGTGCTTGCGATAATTATTAGATAATCAATTAACTTGCCGGTGACTCGCGCTGTGGAAAACGTGAAAAACATCATGGGGTCTTATATGCTCGATCTGGAACATCGTTGACTACGTATATACTGAATGATGATCCTGCAAAAGAATTTCCACTGAGCATCGTTGCGTCATGGATAAATCAATGGATCGGTACTAGTGTGTGTTAGAAAGCCGCGTGGGCAGGAACTGCACTTTCTCGAAGAATTCTCACCCAGACGTTATTTCCTGGTGCGTTCCATAAACGTGTGATGATGACCTGAAACAATTGATTTCACTATACATAAGACACGGTTATTCAAAAATATAGTCAATCAATTGATTGAATATTGCAACTTTTCAATAATATTTTTCATTTCTGTCAAAATTACAAAATGTAAAAATTTTCGGATTTCGTAGCTTTAATTATCTCGAAAACAGCTGTCAATTTTATACTCGATAACCAGACTCATTCAGAACTTATAGCTGTTTCAAGTTTATCATGCTTTCTTATGGAAAATAGGCACATTGTTGGATATATGAACGATAAAGAAGTATGTATGGTAACATTTTGAAAAAGAATCAATGCGTAGAATATAAATTATAGAAATGTTCGCAAAAAATTTCAGAACGATCGTCTAACTTGTATTTGATATTCTGCGGGTTTCTAACTGCTAAGACGTGGCAGCGTTGCACTGCATGCCACGTGGCGCGATATTTGATTTTTGCTATCGCGGAAAATTCGTAGATTATTTTTAGGAGGCAGGTTATTTAAAAACCGCAGTTACAAATTATTATAAATAATATTTTTATTCTGACACTAAATTCTCGTTGTAACGATATTTATGGTATGTCGACATTTCGTGCACTGGTATTGCCTAAAACTTTCGATTCAATGTAAACATCACGATGGGCGAAGAATAGCTGCGTGCAACAGTAGTACGCACGACTACCATCGCTATAGAAAATAAATTCACACAATACGGTGTTGCCACGTGGTATGGTCTCTGATTACCACAATTTTTAAATAATTTTCAAACATTTAGCGAAATTTTGTCATATTTAAAAAAAATTGTTTTCGTACCCCGACTATTATCAATCATCCCGAAAAATCGCGAGGTCCCTGAAATCGGTATAACATTTGCGAAATTTCAATTTTTAACGAATAAGATGATAAAAGAATCTTCGCCCAAAAGTTTTTCGTTTACAGTCATAAATATCGATAATTATTCAAAATTATTTATTAAAAAAAAAACCAAAGAATACTTTATAGAGTAATAAAATCTTCACCTTCATTCTATGCTTACAAATTTTTTCAACATTTACAAACTTGTTACGATCAAAATTTCTCTATAATTTTGCTGGGATTGTATACGCAAAATTAACTGACGTCATAGAAAAAAATATGAATGATTATGATAATCATTCATTATTTTCAGTGTTAATTACCCAATAAATGTAGTTACGTCACAACGCGATGATTCTGACGTTAAAGAATGAATAAGCAAGATTTCGAGAAATCGAGTATCGTATAGGATAAGAAAAAATAAGTAAACACTAAGTTGACCTTGTGACCCCATATACTAGCGCCGTTACATTGGGTAATATGACGTTCTCATAATTTTCCCATATGTCCCCGCAATGGTCCTCTCGCGCTTGCGCAAGACTTTATCGATGGTAGATTCGAAAAAAAGTGAAAAGAGACACTAATCAGCCGGCCACGACATTATACCAAGAAATCCATCACCCAAGCCTGAGAACTTTGTCAATTAGAGGTAACAATTAGCCGTTATATCAGCAGATTGGCAGTGGCTCGATGTAGGTAGAGTCAAGTGATAGGTAATAAGTAATAACAGTCCATTGACCGGTAACTTGTCTGCCACATAAGTGTCTGACATACCTGACACCGTAGATGTTAATCCAGTATTACACGTGAGATAAGATACAAAATAATCCAAAACCGTAACCGATCGCCTGTACCGATAAAAAAATCGTTACTTGCAATAAACAAAAAATTTCGTAAACCCTAAACAAGTATATCCGATATAAAAAAAGTATAAAATCCAGTACCAAGAATAATTCTCTAGAATGGCATATACCGATCGGTTTACGTTCCGGTAAATAAAAACCGATCTCTGTAGGTATCGGCATCGAGTTAAAACTGGGCATTGCGTGTGGCTTGAGCCTAAGAGATCAACCAGGCACGTATCGCGCAATATCGATGATTTTTACGTCGATTCCTCGTTACCGGTAAGCCGATAAAAATCGGCTAGAATGTTGTCCACGTTTTACTACAGAGTCGGAGTGGCGCACCTACCTACTTTCCACAGTATTCACCGTCTTACCGTTCCATCCCGTTTTCTCATCTCGTTTCATCTCGTTTTCTCCGGTCGCGAACGTCCGCCAAGAAGGATTCCAACGGTCAGTCAGAAGAGACGAAGGTGGATGCTGGACAACCACCCGTAGAAAAAGCTGGCTGCATCATTCTGGATGCTGCATCGGAGGCTGGATCAGACACGGATGCGGATCTTCTCATCTGGATGTATGATACATTATACGTGAGTTACGTGATAGGCTTGTGGTATACGTAAAGCGAAATCGATAAATTGTAATAATTATATTTTTATTCATATAAAACGAGCGCGTAAAATTTATAGCAATCATTTAATTAAAAGGGGTCTCATACGAGTTCCTATGTATCGCACATAACCTAGAAGAGGTATAAATTGTTTCTTGCGGAACCGCCCGTAATTTTCGGGACGGTCGCGGAAATAATGATGATCTTTATCCCTAATGAAATTAGTCTTTCTCGAAGCGCTGGAATAGACATCGTACCGTGAAATTACTATAATAGCAGCAGAGAGGTTATACTATAACAATTCCCGTAGTGCCGCCATCAAGAACCAATGCGTATAGGGAGCAAGCAAGCGTTCCTCTCCGCGCAGTCTACTTAAAGAAGAAGAGCGCCTAAATATAGTTTGCTTTTTTGCCGGAATTTAAAATTACGGTCGTAAAGATCCTGATGGCGGGATGGACGGGGAAGGGGGGGGGGAGGAAGAGCGGGAAATTAGGCGGGGATTCGAACCCCGGAGGGATTGTCCCTACTGCCATCTTTTCGAAAGGTCCTGCTTCGGGTTACCTAACCTCTAGGACAAACTTAAGTCCATAGGTACATAGTCCTAGGTACGTTCCAGAAAAGTCATCCCGAGGAAAATCATGTGAAGTAAATGCATATAATATATATTACCCGTAAATGATTTATATAGGCATACAATATTCTGAAAATTTTTGGGTCTTACTTTTTCTTGTATCTGGGTCTTATTCGTGCTATAGGTTCTCAAGTTATGATTATACGTGTCTAACGCCAGGATTTGCCATGCAGTAGGATTGTAGGACCTATGGTCCCCATGGGCTCGTTCTCCTGGAAACAATTCTTGCCTCGGGGCATCATTTACATCATAAGCAATCATAATGATCGAATTTTCGGCGAACGATGATGATCCAATGAGTGGAACGAGGGGAGCCAATTCAGAAGTGGGTACCCACTTATATACCAGCTACGGACTACGCGCGAGCTTCCTAGCCCGCTCCTCCTACTTCATTCTTTACTCGCAGGTCTCGCTCTCTTTCTCTTTTACTCCTGGCTATATAACATTGCCCGCTCTACTTTTCTCTTCGATTCCCCTTCACTACCTTTTGCCACCCTTATAGCTCGGGGCTACCTGCACGCTTATACCAACTGCCACTTTTTTCCTACCCCTAGTCTCTCTTCATAAAGCGAGTGCCGATCGTTCCAAATGTATTATGGGATCCCATAACTGATTGTGACATTTTTATAAGACTCATACGTAACATTAATGGCAACGTACATTGTCTATGGCATACTATATTGTACACTGTATGCACAAAAAGTTTTAACTGTACTCATCAAACGTATAGGTCCCGTCCGTATCATCGTGTACAAATTCAAAGTCAAGCGCAAGAAACTTTAAGTGGGATATAAGGTTTAAGGGGAGGAATGATGGAAGGTTGAAAGGAAACGTAAAATAAAGGAGGAAATAATACGAAAAGGGATTCCAGTCTGCTAGTATTTTCCAGAGGGGTTTGTTAAAGACGACCAGTTCTGTTTTGGGCTTTGGCAACACGCTCTTGGTATATACGCGTAGCCCATCAGTATGCGGACCACGGCCCGTGCCGACCCGCTCCCCCGCCCCCCTCACTCACTCTCTCTCTCTCTGTTTTTCTCTTCTCTAGTTCCTTCCAACCTGTTTCTCTCTCTCTCTCTCTCTCGCATCCCCCTGACAGATTCTCCTCCTCGTTCTCTTTTACTCTCACCATTCTCTCTTCCGCTCTCTCTGAACCCTTCTCCTCTCCTCTCCTCACCTCTAAACACGAACCGAAACGTAGGCTGTTTCGGAGAGAGTGTTTCCACCGTAATGCCGAAACAGTATTGATTGCAGCCTGTCTAGCTTAGCTCTGCTGCCGCTATACGTACGTTTAAACCGCCCATTTTCAAAGGTAATCCAGCTACAGCAGCGCACCCGTCTCCACTTGAAATCTTTGTGTTTCGATTACATTCGATGCTGCGCACATAGCCGAAATGCCGATATAGAGATCGGTGTAAAAAAAAGGACGATCGAATATAAAAGAGACAGAATATAGTCAGATAGAAGAGTCCAAAGGTAAATCCACGACCTCGGGCCAATCGGTTCATCGGTTCGAATTCAAATTGCTCTGCGCTATCTCGCGGGTATATCTATAACCTAGCTATTCCTTCTCGAATCGGACAATCGGTATACATACATATCAATTGTAGATATTTGCGATTCATTTGAACAACCGGCAAGACGGACTACGGATTTTGTCACGATAAAACTTACCGGTTCGACCGGTCACTACTTCCGGCATATACTCTGGACAGGACGGTTCGCACGTCATTTGCTCTAAGATCATGGCGCTTCTTGGAGTAGTCCGAAAGTGCACTAAAGGGTCTTGATATTACCTAACAATGAGAACCCTTACTCTCCTAATATTCTGCAAACTACAGGAATCTAATTTCAATTCAGCTTTATAGGGTTAACCACTTTCGTCTTAGGTTAATCTGATTGGTCCATCGTATAGCTTGACATATAATTAAACAAGTAATCAGGGACCTTTAAGTCTGGTCGGTATTGATAAATATTTTCCAACGTCCTTTGTTATCTGTGCAACATATGTATCTTGTACGTACAATGTTTTCCTATGTTAATATTTTTTTTCAGCTGCCAACCTTAGAAAAAGTTTCCCGTTTCCCGTTAACCATTACAACGTGTACACCCGTTATCCGAGATTTTATCAGATACCGTGATCACTGGCTGTGACTATTATTACGATTGCGATAGTCTAGTCACTGGCCGTAACCAGCGTTCAGATAGATTACTGCAGCGACCACTGGCTAATTAACTTATTCCAACTGTAGTTTAGTTCAACCCCATAAATTGCCAAAAGGGATGAAACTGTCTCGTTATACCAAAGCGTTCGAAACTTTAAAACATACCTAAGTGATACTGCCCAGGTAGTGATAATACCGCCAACCCTTATTTTTTTATATCTAACCCCATACCCCCTGCAGTCAGCCCCAACCCCGTACTAGCAGCTAATGAATGATCAGCTGTCCCAGAGATGGAAAAAAAATTGTACACCGTAAAATTTCTATATAAAGAGTAAAAGTGAAGTGCATGGGAAAACGGGAAATTCTCGGTGACATAATGAGGCAGATCGATTGCTGGATATATTACCATAAGAATGGCGAACACCCCCGGAGTGGCAACTATGCCTAACACAATTGTTAGATGGTAGGAATTCACGAGAAAACGGGAAAAACGCGTAGGGGTGACTTACGGTTTACTCCCGACTGACTACTACCCCATGACTTTCCTGGTACGTACGACGTATATATATATATATATATATATATATATATATATATATATATATACACACATATGTATAGTTGCGTTCTTCCTATGGCACGAGGGTTGGTCACACCAACGGGCTTATTAGCCAGCAATGTGATCTATTTGCCCTGTACTCGCATAAAGAACCTACGATATTGTGCTACTATGTTACCAAAGAAGGGCATTATTGCCCAACGGGGACCTTGAGTTAGACCACTTTAGATATATAGGGTACATGTATGTACAACCATACATATAGAACGTATGCTCTACGATTATAGTTATGTCTCGCCCTTAGCTCCCTTATGCCCCTATGGGAGTTGCTTACTAATATCACGGTAATTTTTCCTCCATTCCTGATATTGCTTTATTATTTTATACACACACTCTATATGTATACATAGCGCATAGGTACCCGTTGCTATGGCATATGAGAACCACTCTTAACGTGGGTGCATAGGATCTACATATTACAGGCTACAAACTTCATATATGTATATTTTGAGAATTTTTATGGACGATATATTTTTTGTACTTTGTACACGGGTTTCATATTTAGTGTATGTAGTATATCGATATAGCATTGTATTTTGTATACAATCACCAATCTACGTAGTGGTACCAACTCCTCGGGGACAATTTCGATGACGAAGACAAGTGTTCCCGTATACGTAGCTTGAGACAAGACATTCCTGGATGTACGGGTTGTTTCAAAATAAGCAAAGTATTTTTTTTTCGTAGGTCTCTGTGAAGCGCTATACTATTTTTTTTTAATTTTAAAGAATTTTAGAAATCGACCGTCAACCTTTTACGTGGATAATGTCGAAAAAAAAGTTTTTAAAAATTGGTAGTGTATGGGGTTATATTTAGAATGATGATTTTTAGGCGATTGACAATACGTAGTGAAAGAGACATACTTTGAGACAACCTGTAGTTATAGGTGCGAATACCTGTGACAGGCTGGTGCTATGGCCTCCATCCATGGTACTCGGTTCCATTGTCGGTTTTGGTGTTGCTCGACTCGGTAGCAGGCATTGTTTAGCATCCCGCACTCCGCACTCTGTTTCCAAGTCTGACTCATGCAATCGGCTTCCGTCGAGGCGAATCGAATCGCGCCATCGTCGTCCGCTCATTTTGGTTTTGGTGCCTCGCGCATGTCAGACAGAATAATAATGACGTTGAGCAGCGAGTTAGGTATTAGCTGTTTTTCCCAATTCCTTTGTCTGCCACGTAAGGCAGGCAATCGAATTATAGTAATACTCTTGACAGATTTTCTCGTGTTGACACTGAAAATACGGTATGGATTGAGAAGATACAAAAAAAAATTTTTTATTTACGAAATATAATTTTGAAAATACTATCAGAGTTGACCCAGCACGTTCAATGTAAAAATGGACCATGATTACGTTATTGAAAATTTAACAGTTCTTAGATGCTTCTTCGACTGCTTTATACACGAAGGTCTTGCTACGTAAAATATACGTTACCCGTGTACCTGTAACGGTGGTTTCTGTTCCCTGGTGACCGATACGCGGCTGGCGAAAACGCTTTTGGAAAATCCATAGCGCTAAGGAATATACAGGATTCTCGTGTATAGGACACGGGACACAATGGCATGTTTCTATAGGTGGGCAAGGGTAGCTAGGCGTACCAGTGCTGTGTTACACGGCCGGGATAAAGAGGAGAAGTGCCGGGTAGGAGCTTGCGGCGGTCCTTGCCCCGAGTACGTGCTCCGAGTGTCAAAGCTTTCCAGGATGAGAGACCGGGCGACCGAGCGTAAGAACGTCAGGATGGGACACCCAAGGTCCTTGCCGATCGATAGACACACTTAACTGAAATACCGTAGTTTTCTTATGAGAAACCTTAGGGAAAAATGCTTTAAAGATTTTGCGCGTAATGTATCTAGATGAGAAAATCACATATGGCAACACGAGTAGACAAAAGACGAGCAGACTGTGCAGGGGGTAGTAAAAAAAATCTAAAACAAAGTTAAAGGCCCCAAAAAATGATGAATAACAGGATAACGTATGGATCCTTGAAGAACCCGAGATGAAAATCTGCTGGTAGGATGTGGCCAGATTACCACCCCTGCTAGGTATGTATATACGACTATAGGGTGGGTCTCCGCTGCGTAGGTTGGAGGTGTCGAAAGATCCGTATCTGGTGGTCCCCATACGAAGCGTCGGGGCGCTCTTAGAAGCGTGAAATGAAATTTGACAGATCAGAGCGACGCTTTTCCCCAACGCGACACCTCGAGGACTTCAAAATGGCGTAGCCATCCAAGTCTGTATTGGGTATAGAGAAAGCAAGTACTCGTCCCAGTCTAGGACTTCACCACGTGCCCCACGGGCATCCAGAGAGACCCCGCATCGCCCCCCCGCCTTTACACCCTCGCAGCATCCCATGGTCGTCATGCAGCCCCATTTTATACAATTCTCTTTCATCTGTAACCTCTCCCGCCCGTTACAATCCCTCGGGGGCTTTACTACAGTTGCCATTCCTGCTGCCTTCGCAGCGCTCCACGGTACTGACGTACCGATCTGGATGTTGCTGTTGCTCCCGTTCAAACCGGCCTCCTTAGTTCCAACCCGACACCTTTTTACAAACACATCACACGCCCTTATGCCTGGATAGTGCTCACCCTCTCTACAAGGCCCCCCACTCGTCTACCCCTTACAACAGGCCCCGGTATTATGTAGTGGGTGCTACATTTGCCTAAGCACATCAAATGCTCAGGGCCACTTGCCTCTCGGTTCGCTAGGTACCTACTCTGCTTGCAATGCGTTATAGAGTGCAAGGTCCTGCCAGGGGACCCAGGAATGGCCCCAGGACATTTACATTCGGACATCTCTCAAGGATCGCTATATGATTTTGATTCAGGTTCTAAAAAGTATTGGTACCACTGGTATCGCAGGATACGTAGTAAATGGTTGGTACAAATTTTTCATTTTCTTTTTTTTTTTCACGAGGGTAAATCTCGTGCCGTTAGGAATGCTTGAAAACGATTTTTTTCCTTTCTTTGATTCTTTCTCTTTATCAGACTTTTTTATCTGTCGTCAATGTGTCAGCCAAGGGTACGTCATCCTCATCCCCTAAATGCAACCATCCGACGATATTCGATCGAGCGACAGCTGTCCCCGCATCGAAAACCAAATTATATGCTCAAAGGATCGGTGATCTCTATTTAGATTCTTATCCGCAGGCGTGACGCAAACCCTGGCTGAACCCCGAGGATGAGGTTTGGCCGACACCTATTCTCGTGACCCTGATGGGCTTGACGACACCGCCGTATACTGTGTATACATATACATGGGATCCATCGAAAACAAGATACGTGCGAACGCAATGGAGATTGGGGTCCCTGTTTTCTTGCTCTTTCGCACGATAACACTTGATGGTATCTCTTGTATGTTTTCTTGAACTCTCGGGGCACGTATATGGTTTGTAAATTGTTGGATTTCCTCTTATACATTCTTCTCTTATTTACTATCCCTGCTTATTAGTTTTCTATCCTACTTTCTTCAGATCCACTGCTTTTCGTCTTTTCCTCGCGGTTTCTTGGCACGCGCTTACCACGTATAGACTATATTAACTGTTTTGTCCTTTTTTTTTACCGTCGTATCGTTGCCCGTATGTTCACCAGTTTTTTTATATTCGCTTTTTCTCCAATCCTTTTTCTTTTCCAAGCTCGAGAAAAGTCTTGGCGTCCAGGGGATGAGTTTCGTGGCAAAGGGGGTCGCAGAGGGTTCATAATTCACCGATCTCTCCGTTACTGCTGTAACGCTCGGAAAGCCCTCTGACCTCTCTTCGAGAAAAGCTACCCTCGCACCTCAGACTGATCCACCCCCTCCGTAACCTCCAATACTGGTAACCCAACCCCTGAACCCTCCTAGGAGTATTTTAAGTGGCGAAACGAACGGAGAACGAAACGCTGAAACATAAAATTGAAAAGTTTGACGTGCTCTGCTTTATGGGAGTTTTAAAACGTAGTAAAGTCGCGCGTTATTCCTTCCGCGGGTCGTTATATTTTTCTTCTTGGTTCACGGGCTTAGCTACTGGCGCGAGAAAGAGGGAGAGAGCACGAGTGTAAAAGAGGAAGGTAGAGAAAGGGCGAGAGGAAGACACTGGGATGAAGAGAGGTTTTTGTTTTTTACTCGTTGCCAGGGTGTTTGTCGCTCGACCTGAGCTACCGGCTTCTGGACTTTACGAGTCTTACTCTTCTCTTCTTCTTTTCTCCTTTTTCTTCGCTATTCCTCATACAATCTTAGTACCTATAGTCTCCTGGCTATCTTGGGTTGCTCGCTGCACAGTCAGGTCCTTTAAGGCGTATTAGGATTAGACGCGGGCTCCCAGGACTGGTTACACGATAATAAAAGCACGGTCAATTAATTTATTTATGAAAAACAAGTGCTTATTAAGTGAAAGAGAATGTTTAGGTAAAGGTCTGAGGAATAGGACGGGAATTGAAAACGTAAATAATAAGAAGTGTAATTAGACAGGGAATATTAATTTGCTGGGTTTTCTACTAAGACATGCCGGGCATTCCAATGTGGTAAGAAAGGTGCATTCCTTTACAACCACCCTTATAGAGGATCGGTTAATTATCCCAACATTTTTCCCTTCCGTCCCTTCGTTATAGTGACTCGACCCGCGAAGTCGAGCAGCCCCCGAGTGCCTAAGGGGTTAGCGATGAAGTTCGGTTCAGTAATGAAGCGCACCCCCTGGCTAAACAAGTCGTCGACTCTGCTTCGGATATATTTTATTGCGCGGCTGGTCTGGTTTATTATCGCCACGGTGGCATCGCCTACCCTTTGGCGCATTTCTGTCTAGATCAACCCTTCCTCACGCCCCCAGACTACGTCTCCCGCTCTTGTGCCGCCGCGCCGATTTCAACCCTCAGGACGGCTACAGTGGCGCTCAACGAGCCATATCTTCAGGCACGAGTTCACGCGGAAACAAAAGGGTTGTCTCTAGTTGACGTTATAAATAGACCCCAATTTCTTTGTCCACGCCCACCCTTAGGTAACGTAGTAGAGTTAACTACCCCCTTAAGCGTCACGTCGCAAGATGGATTTTTTTTACGAAAATCCACAAAAAATTTACTTTCTAAAAAAAATTGGACGCATTTTCAGCGTTTAAAAGTAATTTAATTTTTTTCAAATTTTTCTTGAATAAATCAAGGCTAGTCGTTAATTAATTTAATTTCTAATTATTTTATTACGTCTTAATTCTCGGACAATATTTGAGAACCCTTGCCTTTTAACGCGATGGGCTTAAAACTATAATGCGCCCTAATCCAGCAATATCTCATGCTGTCTTGCGGGATTCATCGCTCACGCACAGCCGTCCCTATTTAGTGGATCATATAAATTATACCATTCTCATCGGCATATCAACCCCTTGCCAAATATCCCCTATTATCAAAGTGACCATGACACGTTACATATAAATATATGTCACCACATGAAAAAATAGCCCTACATATTTTCTATATAAAAAAAATTACTCTCGTCCGATCTTGTCATTTTGTATTTCTACACAGGGGGTTGCCACTACTGTCTTATACGACAGTGCGCAAGGGCTTGTGCATCGGCATCTGTTCACGAAGGAATTACGAGATAACTTTGTCTCCCAAGATAACCGTGTTCCATCCTGTAGGAGACTGGGTAGGTACTGCACGGCCAAGCAGAGGAGTGTGTATGATGGGTGAGGCTCTAAGGGTTGAGTTTCCATTGGGGTGGTTCTTGCGATATAAGCTCTACCCTCTCTCTCTCTCTCTCTCTCTCTCTCTCTCTCTCTCTCTCTCTCTCTCTAACACACACTCTTGGCACACCTACCCTTCCTGGACCACCTACTCTCTACCGATCTCTCATAGCTACCACCACCAACCATCCCTCGCGACATCTCATCCTCATCTACCCCTACAAGACATACAGCATACCCACTATCACCCACAGATAGTGGTTCAGTCTCAGTGCTATGGGGTGTCGCGGGGCTCATACATATTCAGCGGATGCATCACCCGACCTCGAGGCCTTCCCACGGGTCATCTATTGACCCATCTTTTAATACACGCTTATCCGTCACTGGATGCCAATAGTTTCACTGGCTGCACGTAAACTCAAATTACAGACCAGTTTTCGAGTCCGACCGATGTTTAGGTGTTTTATCAAAACCGAAAGTGCCCATTTGAATTTACCGCTTATAAACTTCGTACTACGTCACACTTTTGTTTACGCTGATTACCCCCGTGCATCTTTGCAGACGACAAATTAGACATGAAATT